TTCCCCTCACCCCCCTCCCTTCCCTCTCAGGCCCTCTCCCCACTCTCTGCCTCCTCACTGCCCCTTTCTCTCCTGGCACATCGGGACCATGGTGCTTTCCTTCCACGCGAGGTGAATCGGAGCACGGCAGCAGCCCGGAGTAGCCGGCACCGAGCGCCGTGTTACTCCCCGTAGCGCCCAGCGGGGAGAGGGCCCCACAGCCCCCAGGTACGGGGTATACCCGGTGAAGGAGGCCAGGGAGGATGCTGACTGACAGTGAGACAGGACCTGGAAACTGGAGACACTACCCGTACACCGAAAAGATCTGATAGTGAGGCTACCTGATATCTGGAAAAGAAATCCGAGAAGCAGCAAGATGTAGCTGCTGCCACAGGGGAGGCAGCGGCCACAGCAGGAGGATAGAGGTCCCTGGCCTGCAGGCAGGGAGAGAGGGGCGTTGAGGGGACTGTGGATCGCCAATCTGACCTGTCTTTGGACCGCTAATTCCTGAACCCAGGTTATTTGCATCCTATGTTTTGTCAGGCCTGGTGAAAATAGTGTTTCCTCTGCTAGGGATTTAGAGTGAGTGTTCATAGGAGACGTCACAGGATTGAGCGCAAGGGAGATGGATGCGCGCTGTAAATATTTCCTTGCAGAGAGGGCACTTGATGACACTTCAGTTCTTATGGTGATGGGCTACAAAAAGTCTGCTTGCCCCACTGGATTATTCATGCTTTTCTTTGCTGCAAACACATCCTGATGTGTTCCTCTAACGTTTAAAAAAGGGATGGGCGTTGCAAATCCCAAACCCAAAAGGCTTGCTAATCATCAGTCTTGTTGCTCTGCTGCTAGATTTCATTTCTTGTTGCAGCTGTTGACTGTTTTAGTAGCTGGATTCCCAAGGAAACAAAGCCCGCATGAGCACAAAGGCGGAGTGCTCACAGCCTTTGTGTGTGGGTGTGCGTGTGTGTGTGTGTCTGTCCTTCCTCCCCACCCTTAATAATTTTTTAATCTGTTGGTCAATTGGTCGATCTGATTTGACAGAGGGAAAGAACCTCCAGGAGTGATTATAAACATCCTGACTAGGGAAAAAATTTTGGGTGGAACTTGCACCTTACTAGAAACCAGATAAGCCCAGCTGTGAGATGCAAATGCTTCAGAGTCCAATGTTAGCAGAGCCCAGCCTTTGGGAGTTCTCACAGAGCAGGGACGCCAGCCCTGGCTCAGGCCTTTGTGTTTAACAAATAAATACAGCTATTAGCAAACTTGAATACCAGGTGAATCTGTCAACAGATTCAGGAGCACAATAAATCACCTAAGTCAGAGAGTAGAGGAGTAAAGCTTTGACAATGAGCTTTAAACAGTCTTTAGACAGCCAAGCAGCAGTTGCTAAAACCTGGTATTTCCAAATACCTAGAGCGCGTGACTCTGTTGTGCAGCGTTCAAAATTATTCAGAAGCATAACATAAAATCTGTCTCCAATTTCCTAATCTAAGAAAACAGATGTTAATCACATTGGAAAAACAGAGTACAAAGAGGATCCCGGCAGAACTTCCTCGGGCCTGATCTGCGTATTGAGTTGTGCAACAACTTGATTGCTGCCCTACCAGCCGCACAGGAGATTTCTGCTTTCTATGTAGCAAAATCAGAACATGAAATTATTTTTGTCAGTGTTATTGCTACACACATTTAAGCACAGCCTTTTGTTTTAGAAGATGTACAAAACCGCTTTTGGAAACACTTTTTTTTTTTTAAACTGTGCTATTTCCCTGTTCTTGGCAGCTATTTGGACAAAAAGCAGAGTGGTTTTGGTTATGTCGATGTCGCAGGATAGTGGAAAGAGCGTTGGCATTCAAACGTTTCCCAGCAGTGGAGAATTTTCAGCCAATTGCGGGGAGTGGAGGTTTGGTCTTCCACTGATTTCTGTTGGTCTCAGTGACACTTTGCACGTGCCCAGAGATACTCAACAGCTTGCTTGACATCCCTGAGATGTTGTCATGAATAAGAACTGGGTTTTTTTTCTGAGATAATCCATTTAAATGTGGTAGTGTTAAACTTCTTTGGCAACAGGTTATTTGCAATGTCTTTCCCTTTCTTCTAGCTGATAATTATACCTTTCCCCCTCCCCTTCCAGTTATGTTTTCTTTATGCCTGAAGAGCATGGCACCTGCACCCGCACAAGTGTCAAGGAGGAATAGCAATATTTTGAGGGAGTAAGTAGTAACAGAGAGGAGGTGCAAGGATTTAGGATAGGGCAAAAAAACCCAAACTAACAACAAATCAACGAGGTTTTCTCAGAGACATAAGGTCACACTGAGATGTTGCATATGGGTTGCATACGAGTGTGCTCCAGATCCTAAGACAACGTTGGTAACTCAGCTTTCATGTGGAAAAAACGTGTTTTTTAAGACTCGCGGTGGTGAGGACAGAGCATGAGTAGGTGGACCAGATATGATCTGTGCCTTTCTGAGTGGGGAAACCAACTGAAAACAACCACTGTAGGAGGTAGGAACTTCTTCGTTCATTTTATCCCTGAAGTCTGCTGCTTTGGGGCAATGTCCTACTTTAATAACACTCCTACACAATATTCTTCAGCCAGGCTTTTGCTCTGCTGCAGTATAGTCAGCAGAGACCACCTTGAAAGAGAGCTCAAGGGAGTGGAGAATGAATCTTTCCTTCTCTGGAAAAGCCCGAGTCTAATATCAACTCAGCTGAACACTGTGACGGGCAGACATAGGAGTGGTGTCGGGTCCAACTCAAGGACAACACTAGTGAAGCTGCTCCAGTACCTACAGCTTCAAGTAATGGACTTGTACAGTTAGGGCCCAAGTGATTTGGCAGACACATGAAATCACCGTATCTTTATGCCCTCAGTCATTCCAATGTAGCTCTTTGGAAACTGTTTAAGATCCCTGGGTTTACTGGCAAAGCTCACAGCGTACTCTTCATGGACCCGTATGGCTTGTATAGCTTTAGAGACAAATGCTATCTTTGCGATGCCCTCCCATGTTTAAATAACCAGCCTGGGAATGTCTCCTGAAGTCTCTGCTAAAGCGATAGCATTATGGATAGTTAGAGCTGGAATCACCTCTGCGTATCCTTTTGGTTTTCATTTTATCTCATGACACAACCTTAGATCGAAGTTGTGAGGTTGCCTTGGAGATGGAGGGCTTAACCATAGGCCTATCTGTCATACTGAAACGTTCACATTAGCCAATATAACTGTGAATGCTT